TAACTGAAAGACACTCTGGAAAACAGAATCAAGAAGCATGAGCTCTGGTCTCCTGGTGTGTGGAAGGGGTGCGTGCCTTCACTGAAATGAACCCTAAGTCTTGTTAGCATGGAATTTCTGCCCAGGTGCTTGTCCTGAGAATTGGAGGCCAAAGCTGCCATCAACCTGTGGCATCCTGGAGGTCCCTGCCATTTTCTACACCCAGTTGCCATCTTTGGATGGCTGACTCCCCGGAAATACAGACACCGTCGTAGATTTCCTATCCAGATGAACGAGTTTATGAAAATCCCTCCTTAATGAGCAAGTACATGTGTGCACAGCCACGCGCAGAGCTTCAGCCTACTAAAGTTCTGCGTCATGGCAGACACCGCCATATAAACATCAGCATAGCTTAATTTGTTATTGAAATCCTCATTAGTCCCATGGAATAAAATTAATATACAAAAAGAAAAAATCATTTCAAATGCCTAAAAAAGGTATTTGAAAATTGAGTTCAGGGGGTGATATGAACAGTTACAAGAGTACCTTTTAACACAAGTCTTAAGCTAATGCAATATAGGATATATATTCTGATCATTGTTAATACTTACAAATTATACATCGTTTTTTTTTTTTTTTACTGAAGTGCATAACAGCCCATGCATTTAAGCATTATTTGTGCTGATGGCTCATTGAAAACTCATTTGCATAGGATTATACTGTTTCTCTTTCAACATTAAGAATTTTATATTCACATCTCCAGAAGTCTGCCACTTAGATTAATAGGTAATGAAAAGTCAAAGACGCTTCAAAACAATTTTTAGTTACATGTATGTGCATGGGTGTGTACAATACCTGTGGAGGTTAAAAGCACCAGCCCCATAGAAGTTGGTTAAGATCATTGTGAGCCATGTGATATGGGTACTGGGACTTGAACTTGAGTCCTCTGCAAGAGCAGGTCATGCACCTAACCACTAAATAACCTCTTCAATTTCAGATCAAGCACGTTTAATATAGTAGCCATGTTGAAAAATAAGGGCAGACCCTATGTCAGTGATGGTGTGATCAGAATGTCAGACCCACAGTGAGTACCATAAGGGATGTAGAGGAATCAGCTTTTCTGCAATCTGAGCATTGCATAGATCAGGTAAGGCTGTTTTGCTTGTGTGTGATGCAAGGTCCATAAGCAAAGCCATGATCAAGAAAGCAGGGGAGCAGGGGAACAGCGTGGAGTCTGAAACACAGAGACTAGTGAGGATGAACTGGACCATCTGGATCCCTGCAAGCAGCTGCCGCTGATGCTCCAGGTGGCCTGCAGAAGAGCTGGTGCACTTCGCCAGAGAACAGCACACAAACTTGGCTCAAGAGCTTCCGAAGGTGGAAGAATGTGGGAACCAGCTGCAGCCCGGTCGATCCGGCAGGAGCTGCAGAAGCTGTAGGCCAGTGCTGCTGGAAGCCAACACTGTGGCCGTCAGATCTACCCCTGAGTGTGAGCTACGAACAGCACCTGACACCACACCAGCTTTCCCAGAATTGACATGGCTCTGCTTCGCGTCCACTTCCAAACTTCTCTCGAGCTCCAAGACAGACTGTAACCCACAGCTACACAGGAAGAGGCTTTGGTCAGTGTAGTTCCAGGATAGGCAAACTGACATGAAAGCCAGCTGTCACACTCACTCCACCTTTCAAGCAAATTTCATTTCCAAATAGACCGTATCAAAGTATCATTTATGCTCTTACAGCCTCCACTCAAAGGCATTCATGTCTCCCCCAAAGGAGAAAAGACATTTTTTTGTGTTTGGGTGCTATCCATTTTCTTCATGTCTTCTGGCTTCTTGATATTGTGCAACTTACACTAAGTAAGATGTGAGAAGCAAACCAGTTGATGCACGTTCTCAAATGCCTGAGACCTTGGAGGAAAGGGGGCGGGGCAATCTAGTGACCAACACTTGAGAGGCTTTGGATTTTTAAAGAGATGTTAGATATTTTAAAGAGACTGAACTTTTAAAATATTTTAATTTTTAAAGACTGGGACTTTCCAGATTTCCCAAATATATTAGAATGAAGCTTTGTGTGATTGTTCATGTGTGTGTCTGGATGTTTCTTTGTCAACTTAGCAAAAGCTAGAGTCACCTCAAAGATGCACCTCAGTTGAGAAAACATCCTCATCATGTTGGCCTATAGGCAAGTCTGTGGAGCATTTTCTTGATGAATGATTGATGTGTGAGGGCAGCCCTTTGGAGATGGTGCTGTGCTGCTCCTGGGCAAAATTCCTGGCTGTTATGAGAAAGAAAGCTTAGCAAGAGCCATGGGAGCAAGCCAGGAAGCAGTGTCCTCTGTGGTCTCCACTTCAGTTCCTGCCTCCATCCAACAGTCTTGAGAGGGTCTTTGCTTCCTCCTGAAATATCACATCTGACCAGAGGCATTCTGATCCTCTGTGTTTCCACAACAGCTCATTAAACTCTGAGCACTCAATGGTCTTCCCAGCCTCGGGTTCCAAACGCTTCCACAGTCCTCTCCAAAGAAACATGGTCAAGTCTGCTACAGCCAACACTCAACTTCTGGTACCAACTTCTGTCTCAGTTTGCTTTCTGTTGCTGAGATCAAATACTGCTAGCAAGACATACCTTGTGTAGGAAAGAGTTTACTTCATCTGGCAGCTCCTGGGTCATACTCCATCACTGAGGGAAGTTGGGGCCGAAAAATCAGCCTTGATTAATAAGAAACAATCATCGCTGAGGTAAAATTTTCTGGGCGTATTTTCTCGAGTTCAGCACACAGAGCTATGACAAGAAGGGGACAAGGCAGCATTTCATGCTGGCAGCAAAACTTGGGCTGCCAGGTGGTAAGTTTTAAAGGCATGCAGAGTTCGAGGAAAGCAGCTGAGACCTGTCACTGTGAGAGGTCAGGAGAGACAATAGACAACTGGCAAAGGTGCAGCCTGAGTTGTACTCGAAACACTGTGATGGAAGGGTTCATGGAGAGAAGTTGAGGCTTGCCACCATGTGGCAGGGTCAGAGTTCATGCAGCATGCCCAGGAGAGGTTACTAATGCACGTGCAGGCTGTGGAGACCCTGTCACAGTGGAGATGATGGGGCTACGAGAAGACTGCCAAGGGCAGAGGCAGGTATGGCATGGGGCTGGCTTGAACCTGCGAGGCAAGCTCTGCATGCTAAGAATGGTGCAACCTGAGGGGGCCGAGCTGCCCAAACCCTTTGGAGCCCAGAACATCATGAGTGAATCCCAGATGCAAGACCCTGAGCTGCAGGGTTTGATTTACACGGTTTGGAGTTTGGTTTTCATTTGGCTTGTAACCATTTCCTGGTTCTTCCTTCTTACAATAAGAAATATGTAACTTAGTTTTGAGTTTACAGGAACACTTGAGAGACATCAAATTTTAAAGAGACATTAGGTATTTTAAAGAGGCTGAACTTCTAAAGTGTTTAAGTTTTTAAAGAGTGTGGGGCTTTCAAAAGTCGGAATATGTTTTATATTGTAATATTGACATGGATATGAGATCTTGGGTATAAACAAAAAAGGGAAAGATATTGATGTGTCAAGGTGACAAGCGGTCAGTTGTCCTGGTTGGGGTTTTTGGTCAACTTTTGGGAAGAGGAACCTCGGTTGAGAAATGCTCCCATCAGAAAGTGTATAGGGTTGCCATGGGAGGGTCCAGCGTGCTACCGATGGTGCCACCCCTGGGCTGGTGGTCCTATACAGTCCAAGAAAGCAGACTGAGCAAGCTGTGGGAAGCAGCAAACTGGCAACCCACCTTCCTCCAAGATCTCTTGGGCCCAGGCTCCTGCCTTGAGCTCCTGCCTGGCTTCCTTTCCCTCCGTAATGAAGGGTGACTTGAGACTTGCAAGCTAACATAAGAAAGAACACTGAGACACGAGTGCTTGCTCTCAGGCAGCATCAGATGGCGCCAGCCCTTCTCACAATGCTCTCGGCGGTACTGCCTTCCTCTACCCTGTAGAGAGCTCCGAGTCAAGAGCCCATTATTGAAGCTACAGTTTGCACTTGTATTCCTATGACTGAAGCAGACTCAGACCAGACATTTCTGAAATCTGTTAAACATGTTTTTCTTGAAAAAAAGAGATCTCATGCTCAAATAAGTTTTGGAAACACTGAGTAAGCAGCGTTAATTAGATTTATTCATGTTAGTATTTCTCAGAGCCCTTATCGCACTAATATGATTTGCCCACTGAGTCATCGTGGGAGCAGCTCCCAGGGTTATTAAGGAACACAGCTGAAGCTAGACTGACTTCTGTTGAATTGCTGTTTCTTCTTCTGATTTGCCTCCAGCCCACTCAGTCAAAGATTTTCTCAAACAGCCTGATCAGATTTTGATGTCTGTTATACCCCTAAAGATGACAAGTAGGAGGCACTTGTAACAAATTACAAGGGTTTGGAAAATGGGTCTTAACAATTTCTTGAACTGCCTTATGACAGGTAAACAGAAAAAAAAAAAAAAGTGTTTTAGAGACTGTTGAATGTGGTTTTTATGCTGGGATGCTGCAAGCTTTCTAATAATGGACCCATTGTAGCACAGGAAATCTAGCCTGTGCCAGGCAGAGCAAGAAGACCAAAATCATAGTCTCACCTCAACTCTTGCGTCTGGATCTTAATCACTCCTGGTCTCAGTAGCCCAATGCTGATGTCTGACGCACAGGCTTTGGAGTATGTGAAGGACTCAAGTGGGAAGGACACTACTGCTTCAAACCTGGAACTATGGCTTTAAAGATTATAACGGTGTGTTTAGCAAACAGTTTTCAAAGCATGAAAGTACACATTCTTAACAATGCGTTTTTTAAAACAATTTGTTTCATAATTTTGTCATATTATCAGCGTTAAGATGAGAAGCAGGGACATTGTAGTAGTTGGTAGGAGGTCTCCAGCACTGTCACCACCAAAAAGAAAGAAAAGGGATAAAAATCTGTTGTAGAAAAGCCTTTATACCAAAGCAGAATTGTTTTCTATGATGTGTGATACTTTCTTGTTTTTTCTCTTTCTTTTTACAGTTTTTTGAGGTACCGTTTGACTCAAACATGAATAGAACAAAAAACAGGCCTCTGGTTCGTGGACAGATCAGGTAAATCATGACTAATCTTCTTCTACATTCTAGAACATTCATTGACTTATTCACCCTGAAGCTTCTTTTATTGTAATGTCCATTAAGTAAAATAATTATAGTTAGCCTTCCCCAGATCCCAATACCTACCTGGTCTCAGTTTCTTGGCCTCGTTAATAGTGTCAGATATGAGTTCATTCATACAGTGAGCCTTAAATCTAATTTTAAAAGGTGGTTGGTTATTCCCATAATATTTGTGCCACTATTGTACCAATATCTTACAGGCAGGTCACCTTGTAGCTCACAGGGTTCATAGCTGGTCAGACTGATGATTGCTTTTCTCCTCGGGTAGCATGTATAGTACCTTCCAGCATTATGAACAATGTTAGTTGTGGAGATGAAGCATCCAGTTGAGTGCCAGCTGGATTTCTCCATGTCCTCTGCCATAAGTAAGTGCTGTCTTCAGTGGGGTCTTACCCACAGGTTATAGAAGGTAACCAAATTAGAGTTGTCTGGAGGGGCGCTATGGAACCCCTTTGGCCAAAGACTCAAAAAGATATAACTCATTCCCAGTACTGAGGGTTTTACTTGATAGTATAATATGTCTAGTTGGGATATTGTCTTCTCCATTATATGATAAGTTCATTTAAATTCCATTCATGTGTATATATATTTTAGGAAGCCTCTACAGTAGTAGATTAAATATAGTTTTCCTAAGCCCTTTATTAGCCATCTCTCCCCATATTTCCTCCTTTGCCCAACCCTCCCATCTTCCTCCCCATTTAATCCTCCTAATTTCCCGTTCATTCTTTATAACAGTTTATTGCTCCTTCCATGGAAGATTCCCAGAAAATGTTTCTTATTTGTTTGTTTTAGTGCACTTAACAGATAGGCACAGTCATAGACTCTAAAGGGCAGTGATGACCAAGGAGCAGTTCTGTGTCTTACAGAACACCATCTTCTTAAGCAGCATATGCATTGTGCCAGACACAATGTAGAGACCAATTCTAGGTGGTGTGTGAACACAGAGTATCTAAGTTAAGCACAGGATCTCCCTCTTCTCTTGTCTCATCTACCCTGCTTATCCTGCTATCATAGACCACTGTCCTGAGCCCAGAGGCTGTGGAGATCTCTGTTGGGTGCCCTGCAGGCTTCACAGGCCTCGCTCCACCTCTGCCCTTTTCCTTACATTTCTTCATTTGTTTTCTAAAGCCAGACACCTGGAGGCAGCCTTGGACTTCCCTTTATCATTGTTTGGTATCTCTTGGCCTTTTAGCCTCCTGGACTGTTGTTTGCTTGCCTTGCTGTGAACCAGCTTCAAGTCGGCGCAGAGTGCTCAGCAGCCTGGCTGGCTTCTCTGCCTTTATTCTCCCCTTCTCCAGCTTCCATTCATTTGGCAGATGCGTCTTCCTTCCATGATCACATCGGTTCTGGCTTAAAGCCCTTTTACAAGTGTAATTAAGACAAAATATTTTGTTTTGATTCTTTACAGTGTCACCCGAGGCCTTTTCTTAGGGTGCTTCCCTGCAGGCCTTCCAGCCTCACCCTGAGTGGCTTGTGTTCATCTGCCCTCCCTGCCATGCCATGTTCCCTCCTGTCTGCCAGGCATGCCAGCAGTGCCTGCTGTGGCCCAGGAGCTCTGTCTCTGGTTCTGCAGGCTCTGCTGTGCTGCTGGCATTACTTTAAGTACAGTTGCTGTCCCAGCACAGCTCAATGCTGTCTGCTCATGCTTTCCAGGCCTCCTCTCTACTCACTGTAAGTTCTGAGACCACAGTCCGATAGAAATTGTGTGCTATGTCAGTGAGCATAGCAGACAGAGACAAACTAGTCACTTTTGGCACAGTGCTAATGGCAGGTGTCTTCATTAGGGTCTCTGGCAGTGATAAAACACCATGACCTAAAGCAACTTTGAGGGGAAAAAGGTTTGTTTCATCTTACACTTCCAGGTCACAGTCTGTGACTGGTGGAAATCAGGGCAGGAACTCAAGGCAGGAATGGAGGCCCTGGGGGAACACTGCTCACTGGCTTGCTCCTTGTGACTGGCTCAGCCTGCGTTCTCAGACATCCCAGGTCCACCAGCCCAGGGGTGGCACCACTCACAGTGAGCTGGGTTTTTCTACATCAACCATTAATCAGTCCAGCACAGCAGTAATGAACAGATAGACAAACAGGTAGACAGGGATGGACAGACAGTAGAGAAAAGAAATAGCTCCCAAGCCAGAGAAATAAAAAAGATGAGGATATATTTTGATTTCTTGACATTCTGTCAAAGCAATGACATAGGCACGGGGGTCAGAAGACAAGGATGAACACATGAGCTTTAAGATTAGGGGAGGCTGACCATACAAGATGACAAAGCAGGTAAAGGTACTTGCTGCCAAGCATAACAACCTCAGTTCAGTCCCCTGGGCCCACTTGGTAGAAAGAGAGAACTGATTTCCACAAGTTGACCTCCGACCTTCACAAGCATACTGTGGCATGTATATACACCACGTAATGAATAATAAATGACAAGTATACAAATAAATGGAATGTTAATGCTTTCGAAAGGATAAGAGGAGTGCACCTTCCGATTTGCAGAAAGTGTTCAGCATAGACAGTTCTAGGCACAATGGACAGGGTAAAGCAGATGGCGCGCACGCGCTATGGAACAAGGAACAAATACGGTGATATGACATGAGATTAGAAGAAACCGCTGCAAGAACTGGTTTGGATTTGCTATGACCTGGGAAGCCAGAAGCTGGTCATAGTGTGGGACACTGGGGCCAAGTTTCAGCTAAAACACTCCCTCAAGGGTGAATGACCGCTAGGAGCAGGAAGAGGGAGGGCTGGGCCTGAGCTGTAATGTTGGAGTTCTCTGTCTCTCTGACTAGGCTGATGGGAGAGTGGCTGGCGTCTGCTTTCCAAGCCTCTGCCTGCTGTGTGGGCGTCATGTCTCCTGCGGATGGACTCTGCCAACCCCGCCTCCCTGCCTCGGCCCCTGTCTTTTTGCCTGCTTCTTTTTCCCTCTTCTACAACCCTTGTTCACTAAGGAACGCCTGTTCCTTTCTGACATGGCCCTGCACTCTGCTTTCGTCACGTCCTGCAGGTCTACCTACAGGTCTCAGGGAATTCATAAGGGAAAGGAGTGAAGAACTAGAACATAATCACTGAGAACTTGTGCATCTAGTGTGCGCCTAGACCTCCCATCATTGCCAGCCAAAACAGTGACTCTTTAGCCCCTGGAGCTGGACCTGAAGGCAGGAAGGAGTAGACAGGCAGCCTTCCTCAGCACAGGCCTCCTGCTGGCAAATGCTCTGAGTGCTGAGTCTTTGCTTTTATCCCACCTGCAACTTCCCCAGGCCATTCTCCAACTTTAGTGAGCAAAGCCATTGTTCCCTAGACTGTGGACATAACCTTGCGTGTCCTTTATGGATGACTTCATGGGATTTTGAAGGATAATTTAGAGTTTAATACGTTTCACCCTGGGGCTGACCTACAGTAAACTGAATACATGGTGGGGCTGGGCTCCACATGCTTCAGTATTCAAGTGTATCCTGACCTGAGGCAGCCCAGTGCTGCCCGCCTGTCCTTATCCTTGTTGCCTTTTGTACAGTTTGTTTACATGGGGGGGGGGGGTAACTGCTTACAGTTGTTAAGTAAGGAACAGCAAGTTAATTTAGTATTTTTTAAAATGATGAAAACATACTCTTTATATTTTAAATAGAAAAGTTTTCTGTATTTTTTCATTAGACTCAAAGAGGGAAATAGAGCTAAAATATAGTCTAATGAGAACAAAACTTATAAAATTATGTTCTTCACCTCACCTTCCCAAGAAGAGTACAGAGGACAGTACCTCAGTTCTAATGACCTTCGAGTGACCTGCTTAAAATGCCAGTTGTACTCAGGCATGATGGTCTGTACCTATGATCTCAATAGTTATAAAGCGATGGGGACGGGAACGGATCAGAAATTTGAAGGCAGCCTGGACTATGCATTGACTATTGCAAAACAAAATATTGACAGTACAGTAAATACAATAAAGTGCCACTCCCAGCTCAGGGGTACAGTTTGTATTCAGCATATGTTCAACCCTGGATTTCCTGGCACCAGAAAAGCGACTTCCTTTATTGCTTTGTTGTCACTTAAAATTTAAGAAGATTAAAACCAAAAACAAACAAACAAACAAACAAAAAAAAAACCCAATTGTTCATCTCACCCCATTTGAAAAATACTGGTTTCATTTTCTGCACTAGTGAAAGAGTTATCCTTCTGTTAAGACGGGTGCCTGGGCTCATCTTAAAATGTACAGACATGGTTCCTTGCCACCGGAGATGTATCCTGGACCCGTGCTGCCTTGCAATGGCAGAGATAGCTAATAGAAACGTCTTTACAGCTTCTATTTACCAGTGTCTTTCCTGTGGAAACACTTGACCCTGTGGCTTTCTGCTTTTTCCTTCAACTCTGGGGCCTTCGTGGTAGAATTATTTATCAGGCTTTTTAGTGGCGTGGGAGCCACCATGTGACTCTGAGCATATTACTCAGGAAGCATCCCAGATGCACACGCAGACTCCCGGAGCCACAGTGCTCCTGACTAAAGAGCTCTTGCATCTGCCTAGAAGGAAGTCTGTAGAGAAATGCTCTAGGGGCCTTCATAATGGAGCTGTCTTAACCTCGCTCTCATCTCCATGAGTGGAGCTCTCTTGGAGCCAAACCACCGCAGCTGTTCCCCTGGGAACATGTGATCCCTGGCTTCAGATTGACCACCTCTGTTGGCAATAGGGGTTTGTCATGTACAAAGTTAAGCGGTGGTTTGCTTCTAAGGTCTGTGGGGCTTTGGTTTCCAACTGTTTTCATATTCCCACTAGTAGATCTTTTCTTCCTGCCCCTTATGTTATACAAGTGTCCAATGTCCTTGAACTGTCCCACCCAGTGAGGCACTCATCTCCCTGCCCGCTGTTCCTGACTGGATAAAGTAGATTTATCCTGACTGGATAAAGTTCAAAGATACCTGGAAGAGTGGTTTGAAGTAATGCCTTAGG